TGCTCGATGTTGTGAGTTTTTGCTTCTAGTCCACGCGTCCGCAAGGGGCGCAGTTTCACTGTTGTGCTGGGCCCTTGCGGTTCACTGCGTGCCCTCACCAACGCTTCTGCTTCTTCTCTCTTCTCTGCCCTGCCACGGCTCTGCCTGCCGTCTCCCTTTTCTTTTATATATCACCTCTGCTACGCCCAGCATTGAAATTGAGTGCAGGGTCGGCTATCTGGGACTCACTGCAAGCACTTGCTTTCTGGGTTCATGAGATCTTCTCCTGTCTCACCACCACAGTAGTAGGTCACATCACAGGTGTTGCCACCACATCTAGTTAGCTACAATTTTGTGTGTGTGTAAGAGATGGAGGAGTTTTGCTCTTTGCCTCTTTTGAAGGTCTTGTGCTCTGTCGCCCGAGTGCGCCGGCTGAGTGCATAGGGGCAGTGTGCGTCTCGCTCACTGTAAGTCTCTTTGGCGTCCTGTGGTGTCAGAGCATCTCTCTGTCTCAGTCCTCTCCGCTGGACGTAGCTGTGACGTATACAGCGCACACCACCAACCCAGACTCACTCGTTTTGTATTTTTTAGTAGAGGATGGGATTTCACATGTTGGCTGGGATGCTCTCACTCTATTGACCTACTGGTGATACATGCACGTTGGCCTCCCACAGTGCTGGATTACAGCGTGCACGCCCCTGTGCCCGGCTGGACCGTTACTCATTGTTGCCCAGTCTGTAGTGGAATGGCATGATCTTGCTCACCTCCACCGCCAACCTCTTGGTTCAAACAATTTCCCTGCCTCAGCCTCCCAAGTAGCTGGAATTAAAGGTTGTTGCCACCACCAGGCCCCAAGCTATTTTGAATTTTTAGTAGAGCCTGGGTTTCTCCCTGTTGGGTCCGCTGGTCTTTAACTCCTAAACTCATGTTGATCCACCTGCCTCAGTCTCCAAAATTTGGATTATGACGTGAGCGCAGTGTGCCTGGCCACTGGGTGTTCTGGTGTGTGTGTGGTGTGTGTGTGTGTGTGTGTGTGTGTGTTTTGTAGAGATAGGGTTTCGTCATGTAATCTTACATATGCAACTAGACCAACGGTGCAGTGACTGCGCGTGTATGAGACTCAGAGTGTATATCTCGTCAGTGGTACATTGAGTCCTTCAAGGCGTCAGTGTGAGACAAACACTTTCGTAACCATCTAGTCACTACCGTATAACACAAGTAGCATGCATCAAATACCACTTGCAACCGTGAACTGAGGGTCCTGCATCTCATGGAGGAATCACGAGGGAAAGAGTATGTCGTCTTGTGTGTTGTGTGCCGTGAAAAAGAGCGTGGTAGGCAGTGGCATGACTTGAGCGGCGTCTCCAGCATCTCGCCGTGCCTGGGTTCAAGCGATTCTCCTGCCTCAGCCTCCGGATAGCGGGGTTACAGCATGCAGGTCAGCGTGACCCAATAATAAGGGCTGACGACATAATAAAGTCATATTGTCTTGAGGCAGGCGCTACGACTTATATGAGACGTCACATGTTGCGGTGAAACATACCAGACAGAGCAACGGACAATTACAACACCACGGAACATTCACATATGAATTCCGCGGTCCCAGATGATAAAACCGAGCAGTAGGGAGAGCAGATATATATGACAAATATATAGTGCGTCATCGCATTGCTGCACGTACGGTGATAGACATCTGGCAGGCGCTACATGGTGGGTCTATTGACGTCCGGTGTACCACGGAGGCGCTAGCTGCGTCACAGATGCACCTGTTACGCTTGCCAGCATTTTGGAGGTCGAGGCGGCGCGGAGCACCTGAGTCAGGAGTTCGAGTACCAGCCTGGTCAACAGGGAGAAAACCTGTCTCATACTAATAATACAATTTAGTAGGGGTGTGGTAGCTCGTGCCTATAATCCCAGCTACTCAGGAGGCTGAGGCAGGAGAATCGCTTGAACTCGGGAGTGGAGGTTGTGGTGACTGAGATTGCACCATGCACTCCAGCCTGGGCAACAAGAATGAAAAGACTCCATTTAAAAATAATAATAATAATAATAAAGTGACCAAGCAACCTTGAATTAGCAATGGTTTCACAGCTATGACAACAAAAGTGCAAAGCAATGAAAGAAAAATAAACTAGACATTATCTAATTTTACAGCTTTGTGCTTCAAAGGACACAGTCAAGAAAGTGAAAAGATAACCCACAGAATGGGGAGAAAATTTTTGCAAATCATATATCTGATAAGGGTCTATTATCTAGACTATATAAAAAAACTCTTACAATTCAATAATAAAAAGGACAAATAACTCAATAATGAAATTTGCAATTTGTTTGTTCATAGGTTTGAGAATTTTTAAGCAGCTATATATAGTGAGTCTTTTACTGCACTAACAGCTTTAACTAATTCAGAGCAAGTCAGTTGTTTTTTTCCCTTTAGATGTCAGGTGCCCATAAGGTCTTTTAGAAAGTGAAGTCACATTGGCCAAAAACTTTTAACTGAAGACCATCAATACAAAACAGCCAAGGTGCTCCAATGGAGCACTCATACTCAGCAGGTTTGGTGGAAATAAAACCTAAAGCAGTATTTGATCCTTGATACTGTATTTCCAGAGAAGCAATCTGAGACAGGACTGTGCTTTGAACACAACAGACTGCAGTGATTTGTGAAGTCAGTAACTCCTCCAAACTGTCCCAAGATGTCTACTGAATTGACCAACGCTACATTGCTGGTGAGTTGTAAGGCCATGATTTGAACCCTGGGAAGTCTGACTCTTAAGCCACTCCTGATCATGACCCAAGCACAGGTCATTTCTAACCTGTGGCTGGGTCCCAGAACCTATCCTCTGGTGACATAGTCAGGTGAGCAGTGTTTGATCGCCAAGTATATGGTGATTAAGAATTACACGAAGGCCCCATTGATGTCTTTCCTGGGAAGTGTATATTTCTTCCAGACACTGGACCTGGCAGGGACAGAGTTGTGCTTACATAGGGTGACAAAGTCCAGTGTGGTTTGTTCATTTTAGGTGGGGCTGAAGTTCTGCAAAATTTTGGTAGCAGAAAGATGTCTTGAGGTATACAGCCTCCAGGGGCTCTGCTACTTTGGTTTTCAAAATAGAAACTCAGCATGGTGGCCACTAGCTTTCCAAGCACTTGAAGGCAATGACTCAATGCCTCTGTGCCTGGCTTAGCTCCTGGGAACCCTTGGCTGCCTGAGCTTGTCATGGTGAGGTTACCTAGTCCCAGGGGCCAGGTCATTTGGGGAAGGCTTGTTTCTAAGGTTCAGAAGCCAAATTCTCCATGAGTTCCTTCTTCTATGTTGGTCAGTTAAGATCATTCTGAACAAGAAGTATGTGGGTACCTATTCAGGGGCCCAGCCCCCATTTGGCTCACATGTCAATGTTGAGGGTATATGCCAGGTGAATGTGTATAGTGAAGGCCAAAGGTGAAAATGAGCAATAACTTCCCAAATGCCATGGGCTTTCAAGTTAAATGCATAGCTCTTCACCAAGAATTTGCATTAGGAGGTGGTCAGGAGAAGACTGGCAATGTGGCAGTGGTGAAGTAGTGACAGTAACAATAACCATCAATAGCACCATAACTAGCACTTCCTGAATGCTTGCCATGTGCCAGGTATAGTGCTAGGAGTTTTACAAGTACAGCTCACTGAATGCTTGCAATAATCTTGAGACAGTTTCTAATTTACAGATGAAAAAAACTGAGGCTCAGGGAAGCTTGGATCCTTGCCCAGGGTCAGGGTTGGGGAGCCAGAGCTATGATGAATTACTGTGCAAAAAGGCAGCAAAGAAGAAAAAGACTGGGGAGCTTTTGCCATACTCTGCAGTTTAAAGGGTAGACCTCGCAGAATAGAGAGAGTAATGGCAGTTTTAAAGAAAAAAAAAAAAAAAAAAAAAAGGCAAGGTGAGTCCTGTGGCCTGGAGCAAGGAAGATCCAGAGAGCCCAGAATGTGGGTGTGGTCCAAGGAGCAGTAAGCAGTACCAGCCTCTTCCTGGTGACATTTTGTCATTGCAGTAATTTTTGGCATCTCCCTCCTGGACCCTGGCACTGCTCGGATGGCTGTGCCAAGCTGCTCGGATGGCTGTGCCAAGCTGATCAGCCTGGCAGAGGAAGTACTGGGACTCCAGGCCATTCACAAAGGGTGGTAGAATTGTCTTTGGTCCCAATCCTGGCAGAACAACTTCCAGTGCCTACCTGGTTTTAACACAGAACTTTTAAAGGGTATGTGTCACCCTATGAACAGCACCTTCCACGCCAGAATACTGGCATTTCCCTTCCATTTGCTTCAAGCAAAGCTCTGAAAATTTCTATTTACCTCTTCCAGAACTCTTTTACTGCTATATCCCAGGCACTACAATCATGTGCTTGGTGGCATTGCAGGAAGTGGGGAGGCTTCCTTACCTCATCTGAAGAGCCGTTTTCCACTCTGAATCTTCCAGCCCTTTGGATGGCTCCATCTGCATCACTGGAAATAAGCTAAGGGGGAAAAAAAGCATTCAATTAGGTAGCATCTACAGTGTCTCTTCTATCTGTATGTATCTATCCTATAAGTAAGCCACATCTAAGGACAGGCTGGAGTGCCCAGTGTAGAAGCTCACAGTCTTTTAAAAGCTCTATCAGCCAAGTCCTCATACAGTTGGCTCCCACTGTCCTTGGGAACTTAAGAGTAAGGAATGCCTAACCTGTAAGAGTAGAAAACAAGAGCATCACATTTAAATTTGAACACATTCCAATACTGAAAAACATGAAAGTGATGCTCCCAGTAGAAACAATCTTAATACACACCACATGTGGACAAATGGCAGTTCACAGATGGCAAGATCCAAAGCCAACTCTCAAGTTCAGCCGCCTTCATGGGAAAGCCTAAAGAACAATTAGCGGCTGGCATGAACTCAAGGCTCTACTATGATCAGAGAAACCTCCTGTGCTTCATTCAGTTTTAAACAGTTTCCAAAGGCCAATTAGTCCCTCTCCAGGCAGGCAGACTGTGTTTTAACTCAGGCAAGGTGATGCTTGCAAACAGACAGTCTCCAAGGGGCCTGATATTTGAAAGAGGTGAGTGAACAGACTGGGCTTGGCACTTGAGTCCTAAAAGTACTGACTCAAGATTTAACTTATTTTCTACTTCTAGATTTTCTCAGTAGTGGCTTGGGAAAACAACACATCTTCTTTTGGCTTTTAAATCTACCGACAATTTGCAACAAAGCTCTGCCAACAGCAGACTCATCAGAACACACCTGCCTTGAGGGGCACTTCTCACCTCTCCAACTCAGGGCTCGCTCAGCAAAACAAATGTGATTTCTCAGAAAAGATGGTTATCTCATATTTTCACTAGTGTTTAAGATATATGAAAGTATAAAATTAATAGAAAAAATTTAAGAAAAAACTCCAGTGGGAGGCCCCCAGTGGGCCCCCCTCCTGACCTGTCCCCGTGAGGGGGCGGGGCGGGGTCCACTGGCCTTCTGGGCTGCCAGTGAAATACCACTACTCTGATCATACCTAGGAAGACAACTAACAAAGGATGTAAAGGACCTCTTCAAGGAGAACTACAATCACTGCTCAAGGCAATAAAAGAGGACACAAACAGATGGAAAAACATTCCATGTTCATGGTTAGGAAGAATCAATATTGTGGAAATGGCCATACTGCCCAAAGTAATTAACAGATTCAACGCTACCCCCATTAAGCAACCTATGACCCTCTTCACAGAACTGAAAAAAACCATCTTAAACTTCATATAGAACCAAAAGAGAACCCACATAGCCAAGTCAATTCTAAGCAAAAAGAACAAAGTTGGAGGCATCACATTAGCTGACTTCAAACTATACTACAAGGCTATTAGTAATCAAATCAGTATGATACTGGTACCAAAACAGAGATATAGACCAATGGACTGGAACAGAGGCCTTGGAGGCAATGCCACACATCTATAACTGTCTAATCTTTGACACACCTGACAAAAGCAAGCAATGGGGAAAGGATTCCCTGTTTAATAAATGGTGTTGGGAAAACTGGCTAGCCATGTGCAGAAAGCAGAAACTGGACCCCTTCCTGACACCTTACACTAAAATTAACTCCAGATGAATTAAAGACTTAAACATAAGACCTAACACCATAAAAACCTGAGAAGAAAACCTAGGCAATACCATTCAGGACACAGGCATAGGCAAGGACTTCAAGCAAAGCTCCTAAAACACCAAAAGCATGGGCAACAAAAGCCAAACTAGACAAATGGGATCTAATTAAATTCCAGAGCTTCTGTACAGCAAAAGAAACAATCATTAGAGTGAACCAGCAACCAACAGAATGGGAAAAAAGTTTTGCAATCTACCCATCTGACAAAGGGCTAATATCCACAATCTACAAAGAACTAAAACAGGTTTACTAGAAACAAACAAACCCATTCAAAAGCGGGTGAAGGGTATGAACAGACACTTCTCAAAAGAAGAAATATATGACACCAATAAACATATGAAAAAATGCTCATCATTACTGGTCATTAGAGAAATGCAAATCAAAACTATATTGAGATACTATCTCAAGCCAGTTAGAATGGCAATCATTAAAAAATCTGGAGACGGCCGGGCGCGGTGGCTCAAGCCTGTAATCCCAGCACTTTGGGAGGCCGAGGCGGGTGGATCACGAGGTCGAGAGATCGAGACCATTCTGGTCAACATGGTGAAACCCTGTCTCTACTAAAAATACAAAAACCTAGCTGGGCGTGGTGGTGCGTGCCTGTAATCCCAGCTACTCAGGAGGCTGAGGCAGGAGAATTGCCTGAGCCCAGGAGGCGGAGGTTGCGGTGAGCCGAGATCGCGCCATTGCACTCCAGCCTGGGTAACAAGGGTGAAACTCCGTCTCAAAAAAAAAAAAAAAAAAAAAAAAAAAATCTGGAGACAATAGATGCTGGAGAGGATGTGGAGAAATAGGAACACTTTCACACTGTCGGTGGGAGTGTAAATTAGTTCAACCGTTGTGGAAGACAGTGTGAGGATTCCTTAAGGACCTAGAAATAGAAATTCCATTTGACCCAGCAATCCCATTACTGGGTATATATCCAAAGGATTATAAATCGTTCTATTATAAAGACACATGCACACGTATGCTCATTGCAGCACTGTTTACAATAGCAAAGACCTGGAACCAACCCAAATGCCCATCAATGATAGACTAGACAAGGAAAATGTGGCACATATACACCATGGAATACTATGCAGCCATAAAAAACGATCAGTTCGTTTCCTTTGCAGGGACATGGATAAATGTGGAAACCATCATTCTCAGCAAACTGACACAAGAACAGAAAATCAAACACTGCATGTTCTCACTCACAGGCAGGCGTTGAACAATGAGAACACATGGACAGAGAGAGGGGAGCATCACACACTGGGGTCTGTTGGGGGGTGCTAGGGGAGGGACAGCGGGGGGTAGGGAGTTGGGGAGGGATAACATTGGGAGAAATGCCAGATATAGGTGATGGGGGAATGGAGGCAGCAAACCACATTGCCATGTGTGTACCTATGCAACAATCCTGCATGTTCTGCACATGTACCCCAGAACCTAAAGTGCAATAAAATATATATATAATAAAGAAAGAAAGAAAGGAAAAAAGGGAAAATCCAACGAATTTTCTCAAGGGAAATTATTTAAAAGGGATTGATGGGGCTGGGCATGGTGGCTCACACCTGTAATCCCAGCACTTTGGGAGGCCAAGGTGGGCGAATCAGGAGGTCAAGAGATCGAGTCCAACCTGGCTAACATGGTGAAACCCTGTCCCTACTAAAAATACAAAAAATTAGCCAGGCGTGGTGGTAAGTGCCTGTAGTCCCTAGTCCCAGTCACTTGGAAGGCTGAGGCAGGAGAATTGCGTGAGCCTGAGAGGCAGAGGTTGCAGAAAGCCACAATTGCACCACTGCACTCCAGCCTGGGCAACAGAGCAAGACTACATCTCAAAAAAAAAAAAAAAAAAAAAAGATTGATAAATTTTTCCTGTGATAAATATAAAAACCATATCTGGTATTTGTTGAATGCCATGCATTCTTTTTCTCTTAATGTGTATTATCTTATTTAATTCTCATGACAATAACACAAGGTAGGTATTATTATTCTCATTTATGAAAGAGGAAACTGAGGCAGGGAAGGGTAAAATAACTGGCTACAGTCACTCAACTAGTTAGTATAGGTAAAGCCGGGATGTCGACAGAGGCAGCCAGACCCCAGAAGCCCATTATCCTCATCTAACCATCCCCCTCCCTAACCATCCTCCAGAGAATGTCTATGATTAGGTTGAGTTTTTATATCTCATCCTTCTCCTGCAAAATAATTTCTAAAAACAAATATTTTTGATGACATCAGATCACTACACTATCGCTAAACTGTGGATGAGCCCAAGAGGTTGTGTAGTCGTGAATTTCACCTTGTCCAAACAGAGTTCTAGCCTTTGCCCTCAGTTTCTGGGAAGTGATCTCTAAGGCCTGGGAATGACCTGCGTTAGTGTCTGATTCCTTACGGGCTCTGAGCCATACTGGGTAATAACGACTGATTTATAGTGAGGGCTTTGGGTGATACACTATCAGCTCTACTTCTGGAGGGGCTGAAGGCTCAGGTCTGCCATGTGGGTAGTCAACCACATCCATGGGATCAAGCCCTGCTAAAACTCTGGATACCACAACTCAGGTGAGGTTCTTTGACGAGCAACAATCTACTCCATGCTGATGTTGTCACACATCATTGCCAGGAGAAGGTAATGTTGTCTACAACTTCATTAGGAGAGGTCAACAGGAAGCTCTGCAATGGAACTCTCCTGAACTCTGTCCCATAGGTCTTTTCCCTTAGCTGATTGTAATGTGTATCCTTTTGTTGTAATAAACCATAAGTGAGCTTAAGAGCTCTTAGTGAATTCTGTGAGTCCTAGTAAACTATCAAACCTGAGAGTGGTCTTGGGAACTTCTGAACTCTGTAGTAGTTGGTGCCAGAAGTGAGGGTAATCTTGTGGACTGTTCTCTAACTTTACAGAGGTCAATTTTAAAGTACAAGAGAAAGATAAATTTATATCTCATAGGGTCACTGCCATTTTGACAGGGGATGTATAGAAAATTGAGCATCAACAGCTTCTTTGTGGGTTTCTACTCATTGTTAAAATGGAGGGAAAAGCAAGTAGATTTCATTACCAATGAAATCTTAGCTCTGGGGATGCAGATGTTACTGGTATAGGCTGCCTCAACGGGTTTAGGGGAAGCATTCTGAGATGACATCTGGACTTAGCAAGAAAAGAGCACTACAATCAATTAATAATGTCTGACACAGGTCTATAGAGAGGTGGGACACACCCTCACCTTACTTGTAACCCCTGAACTAGAGGTTGCTAGAGATAGTTCTCACCATAACTAGTCTCATCTAGTAAAGGCTTGGGAAAAGAGCTGACAGTCATTCATTCACATAAAAATATAAATTAAACATCATGAAATCACTATATTCTAGACAAAGAGATAGGCAATAATGCTCTTTTCATTTGTTTAGAACAAGAAGCATATTGCTTATATTGCTTAAAAAGTTCAAGCAAAAAAGGAAGAACACATTTAATGATTTGATGGTAAAAAGAAATTTAGCTCCCTTTGAACTCATGAAATCCATAAGACAGAGTTCATGCTAATGGGGTTTGACTATCACCTTTACCATCTCCCCATCCCCATCTTCATTCAAGTCACCGTCATCTGTCACTTGGATGACCACAACCACCTCCTACTGAGTCTAGACACCATCTACCACTGCTCCTCTCCAAACAGCTCCTCACATCGCAGCCTGCAGCCCGGGTGATTACGCAAACTGCAAATATGACTGTGGGCCACAGTCCCACCTCTATTCCAGCACCCCTACTTCTTCCTACCAGAGGGCACATGCTTGGGACTTCCCGGTTTGGAAGGCCCTACTTTCTCACCTTCCCCTTAAAAACCCTACTACTCATCCCTCATTTCCACCAAAGTCCCCCTCCTTCAATATACTTTCCCTGACTCACTGTCTAGGAAGATGGCCCTGTCGTCAGTTCTTGGGGCACTCTGCAGAGTTGTGATTTACATTTATCTGTGTGATTACTTGGTTTGCACCTGTTTTTCCTCAGGCGTTCTCTCTGCTCTCCAGAAAACTTCAAAAAGACAGCAACCACATTTATTTGTTCTCATCACTGTATCCCCAGAGCTAAGCACACCACCTGACACAGTATCGATCTTCATTAAATATTCATAAACAAAAAATATGCAAATAGATGAATGCCAAATTTCTATTGCAAATGACCAAAGAGATGTAAAAATAGGGGTAAGATCTATCCCAGCCCTGGAAACCAGAGAACGTTTATTAATCATGGAAAAAATGTCAAAGAAATTCTACTAGCTCTATCATGAAGGAAAGGCCAAAGTGAAGAGCAGGCCAGATGACCGAAAGCACCACAGGCTGGGGAAAGTCGGCTGAGCAGTAACCTAATTAAACCATGCAGGTTCACACCAACACCATGAGCTCATGCTGGCAGGGCCTGCCTGAGGAGAGCATGGGTGGGAGAGCAGTAGGCAGGCAGAAGATCCTACTGGTCACATTCAGGGCTGGCACAGAGTGGCAGTCTCAGTGCCCCCCACCCTAGCTGGCTCACAGAGCTTGCTAACTAAAGCAGAGGGGGCCATGGTGGCTGGGGGCCTGATGAAGACCCCACACCTCTCCAGCATCAGCTGGAGAGCACCAGCTGCTATGAAAGGAGACAGTGCCCCAGCAAACTAGAGAATGAAAAACTAACACTTCAGGAAAAAAATCTTTTTAACACAGTGGAGAAGCTGATTGTCAGGTAGCTATCACTATTCATTTTCTTTCCATTATCCTCACAAACCTTTGATGTCACAAACCTTTGATCTGTGAGATATTTACAGATAAAATTACAGATATCTTACAATTGTGAGATAATTACAACTATAGAATATCTACATTTTCTTTTTTTCGGAGAAAATTTGGCTTAGGAATGACATACTGTCTATCAGAACCCATCTAAATGTCAGAACTACACAACCTAGAAGCCCTCTCCCTCAATTCATCCACATGGTACAGAGCTCTAGCTGCCACTAAAATCCACTCTTGCTATTTGTCACAGTGCAGAATTGTAGCTGGACACAAGGCTAGACCCCATTTCCCTAGAGGCAGCCATGTGACTGAATTAACTCCACTGGAAGGTGGGCCAAACCCCACCTGGGTACATTTTTGGACCCAGACCCTTTAGGATAGGGAAGGTCCCTCTTTCATGCACTTTTTCCTTCTCCATTGGCCAGAACCCCAATGACCAGAGAGATCCTGGAAGTTCATGTTGAAGACAGTAGCTTTTTCTTGAGCCTCAATGTGTGGCACAGACCTATCACCCACTTAGAATTCCTGGCTGCATATGAAAGAGAAATAAACTTGTTGTTTTTTATCGCATTGTGACATTCTAAGCCAACTAATACACCCAATAAGGAAGAATCAAGAGAAAAATCACTGAATCTATGATAAGTTCATAATACAAATGTAAAAAGTGACCTGAAGTATCAGAGAAAATGTTCTAGGAAAGATTTACTACAAAAATACAAAGAAGTTTTAAAAAATTCCTAATTATGGTAATAATTTGGGAGTATACTGGATCTATGAAAATGGAACAATCTATAATCAGCTTTCAGATGAAAAGTGAATTTCAAAATGGAGTGACCACAGTGAACCAAAAACTAGATACTGAGAAGAAAATGCCCTAAACAGTAAATTAGAATATCAGTTTGAGATAAATAGAGGAAAATGATTACGAAAAACATACAGAATATATCTGGGAGAAAGTATAAAGAAGAATGGACTGGGGTGTCATGAATATAGTCTTTGGGCAGAGAACACAGGAATAAGCAAATCGTCTCCTAGACTAACCACCCCTTCTAGCAAGGTTTTCTACTAATGAGTGAGACCAAAATTAAAGGAGAACTATTAGTGAAGGTAGATCAGCCTACACGGTGTAGAAAGAAAGAAGACAGCAAGGCAGTCTGAAGCCAGCAAAGAGGAGGGAGTTGGTTAGGTTTCCACTCACACTGGAATACATCCAGCCCTTTGTTATTCTTCTGGGAGAAGGGTTCAAAAAAGTGACCTTTCCATGTGTGCTCTGACCTTTGCAAATACAGCTTTGTCTACCCACGAGTTTAGTAATTAGTAAGATGTTTTCTAATTTGATCAATTCAGATCTGTACTTTCTCATTTTGTCCCTCCCTCTCACTCTATCCTGGATGCTGACTACTACACTGGACAGCATCCAGGTTGGATTGAGAAGGAGGGACAAAATGAGAAAGTGGATAAAGAGGAGTCTGGAACTCCTCCTAGAGGTAAACAGAACAGCACAGATGTTTTAATAAATATGAATGGGTTACATTTTCTTACTAAAACAAAAAAGACTTGATTGGTAACATAAATGAAATATATTAAATACAATAAAGCAATCATGAAAAAGAAAGGCAACATAAAAATATTCCAGGCAAAGAAAGTAAGGTAATAATAAAATCATAAAGTAGAACTTAGGGAAAAAAGATATCAAATGAAAAAAAGTTATTTTATATGGATAAGTAGAACCACCCACCTCCAAAATATAACTAAACATTTATGTAATGAATAACATATAATTATAAAAGAAGAACTATTATAAATAGAAAGAAGAATTTATAAAATTATAATTATAATGGGAAATTGTAGTACATTTCTCTCTGATAGATCAAGGCAAAAACGAGTAAGGATTTATAGAGGAATCAAACAATAAATTTAATAAACATGATTTAATAGACATATATTGACTACATCAAGGTACAAACACAGAATACACACTTTTAAAAATATCTACTAAATTAAAAAAAACTCACCTAATATAGAAACGAAAGAAAAGCAAGAAAAAGTTCTACAAAACACTATAAAATAAAAAAGTTCTATAAAATTCTATAAAACTGTACAGGTCATTTTTAGCATAATGCAACTGAATAAGAAATTAGTATCAAAAGGATTTTAAAAACTGAAAATCAGAAAATATACATCTCAGCCAGGCAGTGGCATGTGCCTGTTGTCCCTGCTACTTGGGAGGCTGAAGCAGGAGGATCGCTTGAGACTAGGAGTTCAGTGACATACTGTGCCATGATCACAGTATAGAAATATATATATATATGTATATGCATAGATACATATTTGTATATGTATATGTATAAATATATATGTATATGCATATACATATATAAATTCTTGGGTCAAATAGGGACAGTACATATCAAAACATGTAATATGACAGGTGCTGTATTTACAGAAAAATGCACATTTTCAATGCTTTTATTATAAAACAAAAAAGGATAAAACAATAAACTAAGCATTAACCACTAGAAGATTTAAAAAAAGAACAATGAAATATATCTAAGGAAAACAGGGGAAAAGAATCAGTAAAAGATCACAGTAGAAATTATAAAATTAAAGATAGTATAAGTGATTAACATATCCAAGATATTCCAAGGCAAGTCTGATTTTAAAACGCAAAGAAGAAAGACAAAGAATGATAATAAAGAAAATAGAACCAGTAAGAAGAAAGAGATTTTTAAAAGATTAAGAGAATGCTATATGAAACTATGCCAGTATCATCAAAAAGTTCAATGAAATGGAAAATTTCCTAGGAAAACATACACAATGAAAATTACTGTAAGAAAAGAAAGCAATCTGAGTAGAACAACAACTAGTTGTAAAACTGAAGAACTTGTCAGAACACTGCCCCACAAGGGCAGCCCTGGCCCAGAAGGTCTTCTGAGGAAGTGAAGGGTCTGATCCTCCACACCGGAGCCACACGAGAGCCACACAAGAGCCACACACCCACAGGAAAGCAGGGCAGTTTCCTTCGAGAAGAGGCACCAGATCTTTTGCATTTATTTGAAGGATACGTTTAGGAAAAGGGTATTAACATATATGTGTAGCATCACTAATGCTAAGAAAAGAGACAGGACTTTTTTACTTTATTTAGTCTTGCATCTCTGCTATGGTCATATACCAAGTAATCAGATTCTGAGGAAGATCGTGCCCAGGAGGGAGAAAAAGGAAAAAAAAAAATTGGCCAGGCACGGTGGCTCATGCCTGTAATCCCAGCACTTTGGGAGGCTGAGGCAGGCAGATCATGAGGTCAGGAGATCCAGACCATCCAGACCATCCCGGCCAACATGGTGAAACCCCGTCTCTACCAAAAGTATAAAAAAATTAGCTGGGCATAGTGGCAAGTGCCTGTGATCCCAGCTACTCGGGAGGCTAAGGCAGAAGAATCACTTGAACCAGGGAGCTGCAGGTTGCAGTGAGCCAAGAATGTGCCACTGCACTCCAGCCTGGACGACAGAGCGAGACTCTGTCTCAAAAACAAAAACAAAAACAAATTAAATGATCATTTGGCAAGGAACTGCCAGGCACTGTGAGTGACTCCTTGTGAGTTCTTGCACTGTCCAATACTGTGGCCACTAGCCTTGTTTAAATTAAATTAAATTTTATTTTTTATTTTTTGAGATAGGGTCTTGCTCTGTCTCCCAAGCTGGAGTGTAGTGGCACAATTACGACTCACTGCAGCCTTGACTTCTTGGGCCCAAGCAATCTTCCTGCCTCAGCCTCCAAGTAGCTGGGACCACAGGAACATGCCACTACACCTGGTTACTTTTTTATTTTTTGTAAAGACAGGATCTCACTATGTTGCCCAGACTAGACTCGACCTCTGAGTCTCAAGTGATCCTCCTGCTAATGCCTCCCAAAGTGTTGGGAGTACAGGCATGAGCCACTGTGCCCAGCCTAGATTTAATTTTAATTAAAATAAAAAACATTCAGTTCCTGAGTGTGCTAGTGTACTAGTCACATTTCAAATGCTCAGTGGCTATGTGTGACTACTACACTGGACAGCATAGATATAAATATTTCCATAATTGCAGAAAGTTCTATTGGACAGGACTGTTCCATGCTGGACATTCATGCAGCTCTGGGTGACCAGAATCAAATTGGTTTCCCATTCAGTTAGTTAAATAGTGAAAATTCACATGATTTAATATCCTGAGTAGAGGCTCTGGTCTCATCTCAGCAAAACTAACTGTTTTATTTAACACTAAACAGTGTTCAGTATGTTATATGTTTTACTTCAGGAAAAAAAATAAGATCCAAGTAAGAATACTTGTTTGTAGAATTTAACAAATTAATTTTTAAAAAATAGAAAGCATAATATGTTACTCATTAACTACTTTAAATAAAAACATTAGTTTCAAATTGTAGGCAATTATTATTAAATGAGGATGTTTCTTAAATTAATACGAATATATAATTTTTCAAAAACAAAAAGCACTTCCTTGTCTATTTCACTGCTTTGTTTCATTGGGCTGGTGTCTGTTTCTACTCTAAATCAGTGCTAGGATTCTCTATGATCTCTGTTCAGCATGCAATGTGTACGTGGCATTCAGGTATATAAATCACAGGAACAATATTTTTACTTAGAAAAAACTCAAAAAGGTTATGTAAAGTATATCTTTAAACATAATATGTAATATTTTCTCCTAGATCTCCTTTCTTTAAAAGGAGTGGTTGGTTGGGGAATTCGTGTGGAGGTCAGAGTGGAAGCAGGTGTGAGAGGGTCCAGCAGAAGAAAACGTGGCTGCCAAAGGGTTTGAGTCCATTGGCAAGTTTGGCCTGGCCTTAGCTGTTGCAGGAGGCGTGGTGAATTTGGCCTTATATAATGTGGATGCTGGGCACAGAGCTGTCATCTTTGACCGATTCCGTGGAGTACAGGACATTGTGGTAGGGGAAGGGACTCACTTTCTCATCCCACGGGTACAGAAACCAATTATCTTTGACTGCCGTTCGGCCGCGTAATGTGCCAGTCATCACTGGTAGCAAAGATTTACAGAATGTCAACATCACACTGTGTATCCTCTTCTGGCCCGTTGCTAGCCAGCTGCCTCACATCTTCACCAGCATCGGAGAGGACTATGATGAGCATGTGCTGCCGTCCATCATGACCAAGATCCTCAAGTCAGTGGTGGCTCGCTTTGATGCTAGAGAACTAATCACCCAGAGAGAGCTGGTCTCCAGGCAGATGAGCGACGACCTTACAGAGCAAGCAGTCACCTTTGGGCTCATCCTGGACGATGTGTCCTCGACACATCTCACCTTCGGGAAGGAGTTCACAGAAGCGGTGGAAGCCAAACAGGTAGCTCAGCAGGAAGCAGAGAGGGCCAGATTTGTGGTGGAAAAGGCTGAGCAGCAGAAAAAGGCGGCCATCATCTCTGCTGAGGGCGACTCCAAGGCAGCTGAGCTGATTGCCAACTCACTGGCCACCACAGGGGATGGCCTGATTGAGCTGCGCAAGCTGGAAGCTGCGGAGGACATCACATACCAGCTCTCATGCTCTCAGAACATCACCTACCTGCTGGCGGGGCAGTCTGTGCTCCTCCAGCTGCCCCAGTGAGGGCTCACCCTACCTGCACCTTCACGGACTGACAGGGCCACAGCCCCAGTGATTCTTGACGCTGCCTTCCTTCTGCCCCCACCCCAGAAATCACTGTGAAATTTCATGATTGGCTTAAAGTGAAGGAAATAAAGGTAAAATCACTTAAAAAAAAAAAAAGAGTGGTCATGAGTGTGGGTTTTGGTGCTCAACTGACCAGGTTCAAATCTCAGTTCCATATTTGTTAACTTTGTGACCTTGGAAAAATTTTTCCTCTCTAAATTTTTAGTTTCCTTATGTCTGAAATGGGGACAATGACTGTTCCTACTTCTAGGCTTGTGGTGAGGATTTAATAATGTAAAATGTATGATGAACCAGGCGTGGTGGCTTACACATGTAATCCCATCACTTTGGGAGGCTGAGGCAGGCGGATCATCTGAGGTCAGGAGTTCGAGACCAGCTTGACCAACATGCAAAAACCCCATCTCTACTAAAAATACAAAATTAGCTAGGCATGGCGGCACATGCCTGTAATCCCAGCTACTTGGGAAGCTGAGGCAGGAGAATCGCTTGAACCCAGGAGGCGGAGGTTGTGGTGAGCCAATCTAGCCTGGGCAACAAGAGCAAAACTCTATCTCGAAAAAAAAAAGTATAATGAGCCTAGAATAGTGCCTGGACATAATAAGTGCTCAATAAATGTTATGATGTTATAATACATATTATAGTAATATGATAGTGATTAATATAAAACGCTCTGATTGGCATGATTAAGCCACTTTAATGCTACATTTAAACTCTCGGAAGTTCTGTTTAAACATCTGTCCACCCAGCAAACATTACTGAGAAATGATTTTTTTCAGGACCTGTACTAACTGCCAGACTTAAAAAGACAAATCCAACATGATCCCTCCCTTAGAGGACTGCAAATCCTAGAGGGAGAGAGAGAGACACATACATATTATCAGATAAATCACAATACAACCTGGTTAAATGCCATAACAACAGACAAAAGAACAGGATGCTGTGGGGGACAGACTCTGGAGGGACCAACTCTGCCTGGGGGAACTACAATGCAATTTATTCTGGAAGATGTACAGGACCTTTGAGAAATGATTTCCAACGTAAACAGTTTATTTAAACTGCAAATACTGGACCCTGCACATGAAAATTACAGACAGACACAGACATAGACACACTTCTGACTTAGAAAGTACTACTATTCCGAAGGGAAGAAAGAAAAGTTTAAATGTCTGCATCAAAAAGAGTGGGTGAGAAAAAGTACAAACATAGGTAGAATGAGCCATCCCCTCACTGCTGAGTGCTGCCCCGGGGCCTGTCTCCTGGTCTCTTGTAGTTTACTTTTGTGCTTGCAGGGAAAGACAGGGGAGAGGGAGCCAGTGTGGGGACCAGGGTAGGGGGAAGGAGTGGGTTTTTTTCTCCTTCTCCTACTCTTCACCTCAATCCTATTTTGCCTGTGCTGGGGGAGAGGGAGAAGATTTTAGCAGCTGGGCAGCCGGGGCACTGAGAGCACCATGCTGCATGTAGAACCACCCAGGTTGGTTAGCAGATTCCCCAGCCAGGAGGACAAATGTTGGCTGGAGGAGAGCCACCAAGGCCCTGGATCTGGACTCAGACTTTACTTGTCATCCTTGTCCCTGGCCCGTGTCTTCAGCAAACTCAACACCCATCACTATGATTGATCTGACAGCCTGAGCTCATGTTATTCTGCCTTTTCAAATCTAATACCTCCCAACTCCGTGGCTCTGCCATCCATTCCTAACTCCAACAGCATCCTCTCCTTCCCACTGGCACAGCTGTGGCACCATGGGACCTTATAACCCACTCAGACTCTTTTTGGCACGTGTTCTATCCAGGCCTCTGTGGTTAATGAGGCTGCACTTACCAACCCATAGATCTTGCATGCTGCTCACTCCTCCTCATGCCACCAAGTCAAGTCACTTGCTCACCCCCTACCAACTGAACTCTCACTCTTTTTCTGTGTTCAAATAAGAGTTTCCATCTGACCAGGCCTACAACATGCTCATGCTACTTGACTATGGCTAGATCCTCACCACCATCCAATCCTTTGATCTACTATTTTTTTTTACTTCCCATCACATCCTCCACCTTGTCTATCACACGTTACCACTGCAGAAACACTGTCTCTCTTAACAGATGACCTTTCTGCTATTTTACTGAGAAACGTGAGGCAATTCAGGGTGGGCAGTCATGTAGCTCTCCAGCTCAAAATATATCTGTCTTGGCTTCCTAATTAAAATCTATTTGAACAGCAGTCTCTGATACTCCTTTTCCCAGTAAAAGACTTGTAAAAATTCACCACAAATGATGACAACTTCATGAGTATTAAGAAGGACTGATTGGCAATCTTATGGTCAAAATAGCTTGACATTTTCTATTTACTATATGGCCAGTGGAGAAGAACTGAGAAACCTATTTGGTGACTGGCTTTGTTGCCTGGAACAGAACAAATCTGTGATAATTATGGAAGGTTGGAAGGCACTTTAATCTTCCCCACACCATTTCATTTTGGCTAACAGACATTGGATCTTACAGAAGAGTAAGAATAAAACTAGAACTCATCTTTTTACTTCATGGACACTGCATTTTGGAGATAGACTCACTCATACATGCACCTCTTCTTCATGACAAGAAAGCACTGGGCAAGAAATAGGGAGGCAGGGTGATTCCATCTTAGACAATGCAGTCTTCATAAACCAAGTGCCCTAAGTAGGGAGAGGAGACATGGAGAGTCCTGGGTGCACAGCATCCTGGGGAGTTCAGTTTTCCCAACATGCCAAGGGGCTGGGGAAGATTTGACCTCTTCACAATGCACATCCTGTTTTTTAAATCTAAACAGCTGGCATTTTCGCAAGCTTATGTAAAGAGCTAAGCAAACATTACCTCAATACCCCTCTTTCAACCAGACTGCTACTGGTAGTTCCTAAGCCCCTGTCATGAACAAATTCTAGAGCCACTGGTTCAGAGCAGCAAAAAGCCAAGCACAGGAGAACATTCTATCTCACTGCAACAGAGCTTTATAAGATAAACACCAACTAGACCTTGGAAATTGATCAAGGAGCATTGTATAATCTCTAGCCACCCAGCTCTTTAGCTCAGAGGTGCTACAGTCCCAAATGAACAATGATAGCTGAGGACCAGTTATACAATCTGAGTGTTAAAAAACAGAAGGTCTGAATGGCTCTTTGTTTCTGTTTGAAGTAAACAAAACAAAACAAAAAAAAACATGGGAGCTATGAAAAAAAATGGTATACATAATCCTGAAAACTAAAAGAGGGAAGCATACCTCTAACCATCTTTACTATGAAACCAGAATAAAATTTTAGAATAGCCATTGCTGTCCTCAGGGAGACAGAAGACATGAGCTCTTTGCAACAGTGTATAAACCTTGTGCAAGTGGGTGAGATAAAAGAGGACCAAAAAATGCAAATGTAGGATTAAAATGTTCACTGGAGGAGGAAAATAAATGTTAACTTTAGAGAACTAAAACAGTAATATCTCCATCATTTTAGATGCTGAATATAGAATGGAAAGGAGCACAACAAAATGAAAATAAAGAGAAAGAAAAGACAGTCATGGATGATAAAGAAAATGATCTTTACTGTTTTAGGGGAAAAATAAGCAATAATCAAAGATATAACAGAAGAAAATATTCATCCTTGACTAAAGGACTGGGTCTAAGAATCCCAGAGGTGCAATGTTTTAGGCAAAATTAATGAAAATAGAAAGGTACAGAGAAATTATGGGAAACATTTAAAAAAAGAAAAAATGAAACGAACAAAACAAAACACTAAGAAAAACCCAGCTGGGAAAGGTCACCAAGAAAGAAACTGAATTGGAACTGCCTCAGATTTCTCTTCAGAATACTAAAGGGTAGAAGGTAATTGTACTGGTTGAATAGCGTCTCCCATAAATTCAGGCACCTGGAACCTCAGAAAATGATCTTATTTGCAAATGGGGTCCTTGTTGATGTAATTTGTTGATATGAGGTCCTACTGGATTCAGGTAGGACTTAAATCCTAAGCCTGGTGTCTTTATAAGAGAAAAAGAGAGGGTGATTCCGATACGGAGGCACAGAGAAAAGGCGTATGATAACAGAGGCAGAGACTGGAGTGAAGCAGCTACAAGCCAAAGGGGTTAAGGATTGCCGCAACCCCAGAAACTAGAAGAGGCAAGGAAGGACTCTTCCCCAGGGCCCTCAGAGAGAGGATGGCCCTACTACATCTTGATTTTGAACTTCTAGCCTCCAGAACTGTAAGAGAATAGATTTCTGTTGTTTTAAATGACCCAGTCACCCAGTTTGTGATAAACTCTTACAGCAGGTCTAGGAAACTAACACAGTAACAGATCAAAATTTGTGAAGTTTAAAGGAAAAAGGTGATGACTCAGACACTTAAAAGCAGGTCAAGTTGTTCTATGAAAGCTATGAATCAGAGACATGCTAAGATATATAATGATTAAGAAGAGATATCCTCAGGTACAGTCTAAAAAACTTACATGAAACTCCAGGATAAGGACATGTGCAACCATTGCTATTTATGATTGCATTGGAGGTCACAGCCAATGCAATTACACATGATGAAGAAAAAGAGATTTGGATATGAGGAGACAAAGTCAATGGAAGACAACTTTATGCCTTCAAAAGACTATACTTTGTTTTTAAGAAGCCCAATAAAACACTTAAACTCATTTTGTATACAAATTTAATTACTAAACAAATGTGCACTAAAAACTTTTTTTTTTTTTTTTTTTTTTTTTTTTTTTTTTTTTTGAGACAGAGTCTCACTCTTGTTGTCCAGGCTGGAATGCAATGGCATGATCTCAGCTCACTGCAACCACTGCCTACTGGGTTTGAGCGATTCTCCTGCCTCAGCCTCCTGAGTAGCTGGGACTACAGGTGCCTGCCACTACACCTGGCTAGTTTTTGTATTTTTAGTAGAGATGGGGTTTTACCATATTGACCAGGCTGGTATCAAACTCCT